TGCTGTCAGGTTGTAAATCACAGCTGACCTGGTATTGTTTTCTGCCTCCACCCATTCGGGATGCACTGTTTCAGTTTCAATTACTCAATATTGGGTACAGAAACTGACAAATGTAACTAAGGCTGGGAATGTCAATACAATCAAACAGGGTAATGATCACAAGTCAGTCATAACGTGGCTAATAGGCTAGCTTATCTATTTAAGTAGCTATTTATTTAGCAAGCTAAAAACACTGAGCCTAACGTTAGCTAGCTGCTGGGAGGATGTCATTGGAGGAGTGGGTGAGTGACCGACTTTTCCCCCCTCATATCGTTTATCAGTGGCTACAGCTAGAGATGGTGTCATTTGGTTAGCTAGCAAGAAATGTGAATTGTTTTCAGCTATGCTAAACTTGAACGACTGTTATCCAGTTAGCAATATCTCTTCCGTTCATAAATTCACTCTGGCTATCTACTCCGATTTCATAGCACTTTCGTCTGAGTGTGCCGAAGCGCAGAATAACTGATTAATTCATGAATGCACAACACCTGCTGAATATGACCGGTGTCAGTAAACGTTGGCAAAAAAAGTAATTCAATTGTTGCCAGCAGCACAGTTAGTCACTAACGCTCTAGATAACATGTAAACTGCCTAACCAGCTCTGCTAGGTTGAGAAAAATGGTCAGAATGAGGTGTTGTGTCTGGAAGTAGCTAGCCAACTTTAGCCAGTTAGCTTGGATGCTTGACTGCCGTTGTAAGGAATGCTCAGATCAACCCTACTCTTCGGCTAGAGCGTCCCATGTCAATAGTGCAGTGTGCGCTCTGAACGCTTGGAGAGCGAAATGCTCTGAATTTACGATCAGACAATCTGACAACGCTCTGAATATACGAATGCAGAGTGCACTCTGACACACTGGAGGCAATTTACGAACACACCCTTAGTTGTCAATCAAATGTATTTATCATTGATCAAATGGGCGGGCAGGCAAGTTCCCATTCATTTGTCAAAACGTGGTTTGGTTGGGACAGCATGCATTGACAGGCAAGCTACAGAAGGAGGAGTAGGCTCCACCTTCCGGAGACATTTGAAACCCCACCTCTTTAAGGAATACCTGGGATAGGATAAAGTAATCCTTCTACCCCCCCCCCCAAAAGAAAAAAAATTGTAAAGTGGTGATCCCACTGGCTATAAGGTGAATGCACCAATTTGTAAGTCGCTCTGGATAAGAGAGTCTGCTAAATGACGTAAATGTAAATGTTTATCAGTGCAATTTTTACGGCCAACTAGCTGAAAAAGTTTGAGGGGGTTCATCTAATGTTCCCTCATTTAGATTTTAGCTCATCTCGCTCTGGCTACCTTTTTATTGTTGTTTGACCAATAGGACTGTGAAGTTCCCAAATGTAAGAGGACTCCTGTGGTATTTACATATTTGCAGAAATCCATTCGGGTGAATATTGTGGCTTTTGTCAAATGCGTTCTAATAATCTGAAGTCGCGCTGTTGCTACTGCCTGTAAACACAGTCCAGTTCAAAGTGAATGATGGCAGGCCCATGTGGCAAATGGCTTATTTGCATAAAGGCCTACTGTTACTCTGATTGGCTATGGCACACCGGTCTGTGTAGACTCCGGTCCTGGACAAGATATGTTTTTATTAGGTTTTATTTACTGCAGTGTCTATTAATTGTCCAAACGCACGGCCACTTTCCCACTCTATATTGCTATAGAATTTTCACAAATGCCTTACTATGTCATTCACAAACATTCTATGAACATGGTAACAGCACCGGAGAAGATGGCTGCCGATTTACAGCCCTCTAACCAATTGTACTATTATGTGTGTTTTTCCGCGTTATTTGTAATTTATTTTGTACATAATGTTTCTGCCATCGTCTCTTATAACCAAAAAGAGCTTCTGGATATCAGGACAGCGATTACTCACCTCGTATTGGACGAAGATTTTTTCTTCAACGAGGCGGCCGTGAAGGATATCATACAGACACCCGACAAGGCCCAAATCCCCGTCATTCGCGTGAGGAAGAGACGGAGATATCGTGGACGTAGATCGGGGTGCCTTATAAGGATCCGACAGCGAGCGAGTAAACTGCCTCTTCCATCAATCCTATTAGCCAATGTTCAATCATTTGAAAATAAATTGGATGACCTAAGATTACGGTTATCCTACCAACGGGACATTAAAAACTGTAATATCTTATCTTAAAGGCCCCAGAGTCTGCAACACCACTAAGCAAGGGGCTCTCCACACAGGTCAGGGACAAAGTTGTGGAGAAGTACAGATCAGGGTTTGGTTATAAAAAAAATATCAGAAACTTTGAACACCAACACATACACATACGCACGCACACATGCAAACAGACACACACAGAAGGATTGAGAGAATGCCAAGAGTGTGCAAAGCTGTCAAGGCAAAGGGTGGCTATTTGATTAACTCTTTTTGGGTTACTACATGATTCCATATGTGTTATTTCATAGTTTGGATGTCTTCACTATTATTCTACAATGTAAAAAGAAAAGAAAACCCTTGAATGAGTAGGTGCTCTAAAACTTTTGACCGGTAGTGTATATTATTAGCCTAAATTGACTGTCCAATCTAATCATCACATTAAGAATAGTAGGCTGTCTTACATAAGTCTGCAAATGCGTGGATGCATGGAATGCTTTATTATAAAAGTGCGTGTTTATGGTGTAAATTAGCTTCCCCAAACTTGAAACCCACGCTCCGCCTATGTTAAAAGGTATTGCATGTTAAGTGTTATGACATCTTTACTAAGCCTAGGCCACTACACCCACAGACATTATATATGAAATTAATAGAGAATCTATATGTAATTCTATGATTACACCCCTAGGCTATAAAAAAAAAATGCATGTGCACACTTGTGTGTCCCGTACCGGTAAGAAATTAAATCTACTTTCACCACTGCATATTAGTGTGTTTGTTGGTGACTCATATCTAATGTGCCTGCTCTCTGTAGCAGGCTGAGACTAGGCTTAGCTAGGCTTCCATGTGCCTCTGTATCCGCACACACACTTACTCACACGTTATTTATCCTGTCATACCAAACATCATATTGACGGACAGCTAGCCTCCCCAGATCATCTCTCCAACAGTGATTCTGTTTCGCTTCGTGTGTCATCTTCAGAGACAATATGAGTAAATAGTAAACAAACTCGTCTGACACATATTCCTCAATTAAAATGTTTGTTGATGGCCTGATTCGGTCTCTGTGTTGTAAATAGCTCCCAAAGTGACCTTGGCTCTCCTCTTCACCAACAGCCACAGTATTGACCGTCACTAAACACATGATTGATGTGTTTTCACAGCTAATGCTATCTGAAACATGATTGCATTTCACTCCTCCAACCAATTGGTCTGTAATTGACTTTATAGACATGCAAACACGCACGCACACACTCGCACGGACGTGCATACGCGCGCACACATAAACAAACAGACACATTTTGCTGATGGACAGGGCCAACAGTCATGGTGTCAACCCTTGTCATCTTGGTGTGTGAGGGTTTGGTCTTGAAGTCGTTGCCAGGGAACTCAGTTTGTTGTAGTGTGTTGACTCACTACATAACAGAACAGTAGACACTATGAGGTCATTGCTCACAACATATGTTACTATGATGTCTGTCATGTGTTACTATGGTTTAATGTCTATAGCTGCCATCATTGTGTCAGATAGTTGTTTCATCATGGCTGGTTGCCTTTGTGTTGCAGTCTGTCGATATGTCCGAACATATGTTACTTGGTGTCTTTAACTTCTACCGTTGCGTGTTTCATCATGGCTGGCTCCCTGGACTCAGTATTGACTTATCCCTGGTGATACTACAATACATGGCCAAAAGTATGTGGACACACCTTCAAATAAGTGGATTCCGCTATTTCAGCCACACATGTTGCTGACAGGTGTATAAATCGAGCACACAGCCATGCAATCTCCATAGACAAACATTGGTTGTAGAATGGCCCATACTGAAGAGCTCAGTTCCAAGTCAGTTCATCAAATGCCTGCCCTGCAAGAGCTGCCCAGGTCAACTGTAAATGCTGTTATCGTGAAGTGGAAACGACTAGGAGCAACAATGGCTCAGCCACAAAGTGGTAGGCCACACAAGCTCACAGAACGGGACCACCGAGTGCTGAAACACGTAGTGTGTTAAAATCGCCTATCCTCAGTTGCAACACTCACAACCGACTTCCAAACTGCCTCTGGAAGCAACGTCAGCACAATAACTGTTCGTTGGGAGCTTTATGAAATGGGTATCCATGGCCGAGCAGCCGCACACAAGCCTAAGATCACCATGCACAATGCCAAGCGTCGGCTGGAGTGGTGTAAAGCTCGCCGCCGTTGGACTCTGGAGCAGTGGAAACACCATCTAGCAGTACAACAGACTAATCTGGGTTTGGCGGATGCCAGGAGAATGCTACCTGCCCGAATGCATAGTGCTAACTGTAAGGTTTGGTGGAGGAATAATTGGAACGCCAACTGCGAGCCAGGCCTAATCGCACAACCTCACTAATGCTCTTGTGGCTGAATGGAATCAAGTTCCCACAGCAATGTTCCAACATCTAGTGGAAAGCCTTCCCAGAAGAGTGGCGGCTGTTATAGCAGCAAAGGGGGGACCAACTCCATATTAATGCCCATGATTTTGGAATGAGATGTTCGACGAGCAGTTGTCTTTTGGCCATGTAGTGAATGTCTGTATTCTAGTCCCTTGTTTGCAGTAGTGCTGTGTGCACCATTTAGAAAGTAGCAGGAGACATGGGCCATAAGCTAGCTAGCACATTGCAATATTGAAGTTTCTAAATGCACATTTCAAATATATTGAAAAAGGCCTTGCAGATTAAATAACAATGGTAGCACATGTTAATTAAACTTCTGTTTTAGTATGAGGTATGAACCATCACTAACCAGTCCTTGTCTCTTTCCTCTCTCTGTGTTGGTATGCGGTATGAACCATCACTAACCAGTCCTTGTCTCTCTCCTCTTCGTAGGTACGACACCATAACCAACCAGTGGGCGATGGTGTCTCCGCTCCCCAAGCCGGTGCACTCTGCAGCAGCCACAGTGTGTGGGGGGAAGGTGTATGTGTTTGGAGGGGTGAACGAGGCAGGCCGATCTGCAGGAGTACTACAATCATACGTCCCTCAGGCCAACTCCTGGAGCTTCATAGAGTCACCCATGATAGGTAAGAGTCAATACTCTTAACTGCTCTATGCTCAAATTTACTCTGCTGTATACGCTCATTTAATCCGCTCTCTACTCTGGCTCTAACCATGATGAACTGAACTGAACAGTCAGTCAGAGAATGGCAGAGATGGCAGAAATGTAGAGCGGAATGAGAGCATGAGAGCACAGTTCACACTGCCACACTCCTCCCCCCCCCCCCCCCCCCCCCCCCCCCCCCCCCCCCCCACCATTCACATTCAAATGAAAATGCACACACGGGGGAAGAGAGAGTGGGAGGAAGAGTGGGAGGAACGGGGGAAGAGAGTGGGAGGAACGGGGAGAGCGAGTGGGAGGAACGGGGGAAGAGAGTGGGAGTAACGGGGGAGAGCGAGTGGGAGGAACGGGGGAGAGAGGGTGGGAGGAACGGCGAAGAGGGTGGGAGGAACGGGGGAGAGAGGGAGGAACGGGGGAGAGGGAGTAACAGGGAGAGAGGGAGGAACCGGAGGGGGAGAGAGGGAGGAACAGTAGAGAGAGGGAGAGGAACGGAAGAGAGAGGGAAAGGAATGGGGGAAGAGAGAGGGAAAGGAACGGTGGGAAGAGAGGGAAAGGAACGGGGGGAAGAGAGAGGGAGAGGAACGGGGAGTGCGAGGGAGAGGAACGGGGAGTGCGAGGGAGAGGAATGGGGAGAGAATGGGGAAGGGCGGGGGGAGGAAGAAAGGAATATGATCTAACAGACAGTGGAGAGGGTGCAGCTATTACAGAGAGGAAGGACTGGAAGGGAGCAGAGGACAGCAGCCTGTATTCCCACGGGGGGTCAGTATGAAAATGTATGCACTCACTTAACTGTAAGTCGCTCTGGATAAGAGCGTCTGCTAAATGACTAAAAAATGTTTTAAAAAATATACGCTGGGTATAACCCAGTGAGTCCTTTCTTATCTGTTTGGACCCTTCTCCCCTGGATGAGATGCAAATGGTTTTCTCAACACTTATCAACTAACTCTTTCCTGCTCTCACTCACATGCAGGAATACACACACACACATACATTCACACACATATGCAGTAACATAAACACACACCACCTGAACATGGACTCAACATCGATTTACTGTAGACACATGCGCTCACTGAAGCACTCCAACCTACATGTTTATACACACACACACGCACACGTACACACACATGCTCTATCTCTATCACACACTCCAACCCAAGCTGTGAACAGTTCTCTGACAGTCACTAATCCAGTGTCCATGTGTCCTGCTAAGAGGGAGAGAAGAACGGGCATTAAGGGCATTAAACGTGATTTGGAAGCCCACTGAACAATCAGGATTACCAGGTGATGATAACAAAGCCTTAGTTAAAACCACTGAGGTATATAATTAATTGGAGACACGATGGCCGAACATTGATTTCAATGTAATCTGCTGACGTGTGCATTCGCCGTTTCGTGGTTGTTGACATTTTACATACACCTTAGCAAAATACATTTAAACTCAGTTTTTCACAATTCCTGACATTTAATCCTAGTAAATATTCCCTGTCATAGGTCAGTTAGGATCACCACTTTATTTTAAGAATGTGAAATGTCAGAATAATAGTAGAGAGAAGGATTCTCAGTTCCTATGCTTCCTGGCTGATGTTTTGGTCACTTTTGAATGCTGGCGGTGCTTTCACTCTAGTGGTAGCATGAGACGGAGTCTACAACCCACACAAGTGGCTCAGGTAGTGCAGCTCATCCAGGATGGCACATCAATGCGAGCTGTGGCAAGAAGGTTTGCTGTGTCTGTCAGCGTAGTGTCCAGAGCATGGAGGCGCTACCAGGAGACAGGCCAGTACATCAGGAGACGTGGAGGAGGCCGTAGGAGGGCAACAACCCAGCAGCAGGACTGCTACCTCCGCCTTTGTGCAAGGAGGAGCAGGAGGAGCACTGCCAGAGCCCTGCAAAATGACCTCCAGCAGGCCACAAATGTGCATGTGTCTGCTCAAACGGTCAGAAACGGACTCCATGAGGGTGGTATTTGGGCCCCACGTCCACAGGTGGGGGTTGTGCTTACAGCCCAACACCGTGCAGGACGTTTGGCATTTGCCAGAGAACACCAAGATTGGCAAATTCGCCACTGGCGCCCTGTGCTCTTCACAGATGAAAGCAGGTTCACACTGAACACACGTGACAGTCTGGAGACGCTGTGGAGAACGTTCTGCTGCCTGCAACATCCTCCAGCATGACCGGTTTGGCGGTGGGTCAGTCATGGTGTGGGGTGGCATTTCTTTGGGGGGCCGCACAGCCCTCCATGTGCTCGCCAGAGGTAGCCTGACTGCCATTAGGTACCGAGATTAGATCCTCAGACCCCTTGTGAGACCATATGCTGGTGCGGTTGGCCCTGGGTTCTTCCTAATGCAAGACAATTCTAGACCTCATGTGGCTGGAGTGTGTCAGCAGTTCCTGCAAGAGGAAGGCATTGATGCTATGGACCGCCCGTTCCCCAGACCTGAATCCAATTGAGCACATCTGGGAAATCATGTCTCGCTCCATCCACCAACGACACGTTGCACCACAGACTGTCCAGGAGTTGGCGGATGCTTTAGTCCAGGTCTGGGAGGAGATCCCTCAGGAGACCATCCACCACCTCATCAGGAGCATGCCCAGGCGTTGTAGGGAGGTCATACAGGCACGTGGAGGCCACACACACTACTGAGCCTCATTTTCACTTGTTTTAAGGACATTACATCAAAGTTGGATCAGCCTGTAGTGTGGTTGTATGTATGTGTATATATATATACAGTGGGGAAAAAAAGTATTTAGTCAGCCACCAATTGTGCAAGTTCTCCCACTTAAAAAGATGAGAGGCCTGTAATTTTCATCATAGGTACACGTCAACTATGATAGACAAAATGAGAAAAAAAATCCAGAAAATCACATTGTAGGATTTTTAATGAATTTATTTGCAAATTATGGTGGGAAATAAGTATTTGGTCAATAACAAAAGTTTCTCAATACTTTGTTATATACCCTTTGTTGGCAATGACACAGGTCAAACATTTTCTGTAAGTCTTCACAAGGTTTTCACACACTGTTGCTGGTATTTTGACCCATTCCTCCATGCAGATCTCCTCTAGAGCAGTGATGTTTTGGGACTGTCGCTGGGGAACATGGACTTTCAACTCCCTCCAAAGATTTTCTATGGGGTTGAGATCTGGAGACTGGCTAGGCCACTCCAGGACCTTGAAATGCTTCTTACGAAGCCACTCCTTCGTTGCCCGGGCGGTGTGTTTGGGATCATTGTCATGCTGAAAGACCCAGCCACGTTTCATCTTCAATGCCCTTGCTGATGGAAGGAGGTTTTCACTCAAAATCTCACGATACATGGCCCCATTCATTCTTTCCTTTACACGGATCAGTCGTCCTGGTCCCTTTGCAGAAAAACAGCCCCAAAGCATGATGTTTCCACCCCCATGCTTCACAGTAGGTATGGTGTTCTTTGGATGCAACTCAGCATTCTATGTCCTCCAAACACGACGAGTTGAGTTTTTACCAAAAAGTTCTATTTTGGTTTCATCTGACCATATGATATTCTCCCAATCCTCTTCTGGATCATCCAAATGCACTCTAGCAAACTTCAGACGGGCCTGGACATGTACTGGCTTAAGCAGGGGGACACATCTTGCACTGCAGGATTTGAGTCCTTGGCGACGTAGTGTGTTACTGATGGTAGGCTTTGTTACTTTGGTCCCAGCTCTCTGCAGGTCATTCACTCGGTCCCCCCGTGTGGTTCTGGGATTTTTGCTCACCGTTCTTGTGATCATTTTGACCCCACGGGGTGAGATCTTGCGTGGAGCCCCAGATCGAGGGAGATTATCAGTGGTCTTGTATGTCTTCCATTTCCTAATAATTGCTCCCACAGTTGATTTCTTCAAACCAAGCTGTTTACCTATTGAAGATTCAGTCTTCCCAGCCTGGTGCAGGTCTACAATTTTGTTTCTGGTGTCCTTTGACAGCTCTTTAGTCTTGGCCATAGTGGAGTTTGGAGTGTGACTGTTTGAGGTTGTGGACAAGTGTCTTTTATACTGATAACAAGTTCAAACAGGTGCCATTAATACAGGTAACGAATGGAGGACAGAGGAGCCTCTTAAAGAAGGAGTTACAGGTCTGTGAGAGCCAGAAATCTTGCTTGTTTGTAGGTGACCAAATACTTATTTTCCACCATAATTTGCAAATAAATTCATTAAAAATCCTACAATGTGAGTTTCTGGATTTTTCTCTCTAATTTTGTCTGTCATAGTTGACGTGTACCTATGATGAAAATTACAGGCCTCTCTCATCTTTTTAAGTGGGAGAACTTGCACAATTGGTGGCTGACTAAATACTATTTTTCCCCACTGTATGTGTATGTACAGTGAGGGGGAAAAAATATTTGATCCCCTCCTGATTTTGTACGTTTGCCCACTGACAAAGAAATGATCAGTCTATAATTTTAATGGTAGGTTTATTTGAACAGTGAGAGACAGAATAACAACAAAAAAATCCAGAAAAACCCATGTCAAAAATGTTATAAATTTATTTGCATTTTAATGAGGGAAATAAGTATTTGACCCCCTCTCAATCAGAAAAATGTCTGGCTCCCAGGTGTCTTTTATACAGGTAACGAGCTGAAATTAGGAGCACACTCTTAAAGGGAGTGCTCCTAATCTCAACTTGTTACCTGTATAAAAGACACCTGTCCACAGAAACAATCAATCAGATTCCAAACTCTCCACCATGGCCAAGACTAAAGAGCTCCCCAAGGATGTCAGAGACAAGATTGTAGACCTACACAAGGCTGGAATGGGCATCTTCAATGCTTGTTTGTAGGTGACCAAATACTTATTTTCCACCATAATTTTCAAATAAATTCATTAAAAATCCTACAATGTAATTTTCTGTATTTTTTTTTCTCATTTTGTCTGTCATAGTTGACGTGTACCTATGATGAAAATTACAGGCCTCTCTCATCTTTTTAAGTGGGAGAACTTGCACAATTGGTGGCTGACTAAATACTTTTTTCCCCCACTGTATATATATGTATGTATATATGTATGTGTGTGCGAAAAAAACTAACATATGGGGGATTGGAAGTGATGCAGACAATTACATTGATGGAAGTTACAATCTATCTACAATATTAAAGCTGATCTACCTAAAAAAAATATATATCAAAAAAAAAAAAAAAAAAGCAGTGGCTTCTTCCTTGCTGAGCGGCCTTTCAGGTTATGTCGATAATGGACTCGTTTTACTGTGGATATACAGTGGGGGAAAACAGTATTTAGTCAGCCACCAATTGTGCAAGTTCTCCCACTTAAAAAGATGAGAGGCCTGTAATTTTCATCATAGGTACACGTCAACTATGACAGACAAAATTAGAAAATAAATCCAGAAAATCACATTGTAGGATTTTTAATGAATTTATTTGCAAATTATGGTGGAAAATAAGTATTTGGTCAATAATAAAAGTTTCTCAATACTTTGTTATATACCCTTAGTTGGCAATGACACAGGTCAAACGTTTTCTGTAAGTCTTCACAAGGTTTTCACACACTGTTGCTGGTATTTTGGCCCATTCCTCCATGCAGATCTCCTCTAGAGCAGTGATGTTTTGGGGCTGTCGCTGGGCAACACGGACTTTCAACTCCCTCCAAAGATTTTCTATGGGGTTGAGATCTGGAGACTGGCTAGGCCACTCCAGGACCTTGAAATGCTTCTTACGAAGCCACTCCTTCGTTGCCCGGGCGGTGTGTTTGGGATCATTGTCATGCTGAAAGACCCAGCCACGTTTCATCTTCAATGCCTTTGTTGATGGAAGGAGGTTTTCACTCAAAATCTCACGATACATGGCCCCATTCATTCTTTCCTTTACACGGATCAGTCGTCCTGGTCCCTTTGCAGAAAAACAGCCCCAAAGCATGATGTTTCCACCCCCATGCTTCACAGTAGGTATGGTGTTCTTTGGATGCAACTCAGCATTCTTTGTCCTCCAAACACGACGAGTTGAATTTTTACCAAAAAGTTCTATTTTGGTTTCATCTGACCATATGACATTCTCCCAATCCTCTTCTGGATCATCCAAATGCACTCTAGCAAACTTCAGACGGGCCTGGACATGTACTGGCTTAAGCAGGGGGACACGTCTGGCACTGCAGGATTTGAGTCCCTGGCGGCGTAGTGTGTTACTGATGGTAGGCTTTGTTACTTTGGTCCCAGCTCTCTGCAGGTCATTCACTCGGTCCCCCCATGTGGTTCTGGGATTTTTGCTCACCGTTCTTGTGATCATTTTGACCCCACGGGGTGAGATCTTGCGTGGAGCCCCAGATCGAGGGAGATTATCAGTGGTCTTGTGTCTTCCATTTCCTAATAATTGCTCCAACATTTGATTTCTTCAAACCAAGCTGCTTACCTATTGCAGATTCAGTCTTCCCAGCCTGGTGCAGGTCTACAATTTTGTTTCTGGTGTCCTTTGACAGCTCTTTGGTCTTGGCCATAGTGGAGTTTGGAGTGTGACTGTTTGAGGTTGTGGACAGGTGTCTTTTATACTGATAACAAGTTCAAACAGGTGCCATTAATACAGGTAATGAGTGGAGGACAGAGGAGCCTCTTAAAGAAGAAGTTACAGGTCTGTGAGAGCCAGAAATCTTGCTTGTTTGTAGGTGACCAAATACTTATTTTCCACCATAATTTGCAAATAAATTCATAAGAAATCCTACAATGTGATTTTCTGGGAAAAAAAATCTCAATTTGTCTGTCATAGTTGACGTGTACCTATGATGAAAATTACAGGCCTCTCTCATCTTTTTAAGTGGGAGAACTTGCACAATTTTTGGCTGACTAAATACTTTTTTCCCCCACTGTAGATACTTTTGTACCTGTTTCCTCCAGCATCTTCACAAGGTCTTTTGCTGTGTTTCTGGGATTGATTTGCACTTTTTGCACCAAAGTACGTTCATCTCTAGGAGACAGAACGCGTCTCCTTCCTGAGCGGTATGACGGCTGCGTGGTCCCATGGTGTTTATACTTGCGTACTATTGTTGGTACAGATGAACGTGGTGCCTTCAGGCGTTTGGAAATTGCTCCGAAGGATGAACCAGACTTGTGGAGGTCTACACATTTTCCCTGAGGTCTTGTGTGATTTATTTTGATTTTCCCATGATGTTAAGCAAAGAGGCACTGAGGTTGAAGGTAGGCCTTGAAATACATCCACAGGTACACCTCCAATTGACTCAAATGATGTCAATTAGCCTATCAGAAGCTTCTAAAGCCATGACATCATTTTCTGGAATTATACAAGCTGTTAAAGGCACAGTCAACTTAGTGTATGTAAACTTCTGGACCCACTGGAATTGTGATACAGTGAATTATAAGTGAAATAATCTGTCTGTAAACAATTGTTGGAAAAATGACTTGTGTCATGCACAAAGTAGATGTCCTAACCGACTTGCCAAAACTATAGTTTGTTAACAAGAAATGTGTGGAGTGGTTGAAAAACGAGCTCACGTCAGAACATGAATTTTAAAAAATCATGTCTGTGAGTAATGGAAAATAAATCTGACTCAGGCAGCGACAATTAGAATAATTCAATGGATGTTTAGTGCACAACTGTTATGACTAAAGTGTCTTATTAGGAATTTTCCTATTTGAGTTCTCTATGGTGCCGTCTATGAGAATAGTTTTTTTGGGGCCAGATATTTAAACTGTTGGTCCGTAGGTACAGTGGAAAGCGTGCTTACAGACCGGAATCGTGGGGCCTTGGTTAAAACCTACTTAGCGTTGTTAACAGATAATTCCTGTGATTGGATCTTATTAGCGTTAACAGATAATTCCTGTGATAGGATCTTATCTAGTCTCTTGGCAGAGTAGACTATAGTCCTTCTCAAGGGCCAGGATGAAATCATAGGCTCACTAAGAAGAGACTAGTGTTGGTCTGAATGTTAACATGTGCTACAGTGTAACCACTGTCAATGAATGGATTAGTGTATCTGTGACTGCACCTCTATGTCCAGGAAACTAACACTGTAGTTCTCATGTGATATCTTTCTCTGTTCTTTGTAGTCTAATCAGAGTCCAATCTTATCAGGCTTTGGGCTTGTGCTGTGTGAGATCACTCCGGTAGTGACTGAGGTTGGTATCAGATACCATCATTGTCTCCAGCTGCTGTTGGACTGAGACAATAAGACAGGAAACAACCATGTTTACAGTGGGACCAGAGATGAGGGGGACCAGAGATGAGCCACTGGTTTCAGGTTAGAAAGATGGTCACTTCCTACATGTGAAAAACACAACTGTTGACTCCACTGGGGTCACATGAGAAACAAGGAAGTGTGAAAAGGGGAGCTCTTTCTGCTTTAGACGACTCACTACTAGTGATGGCTGCCTTTTGAGGTTTCTGAAGTATATAGGAATACACTGAATATAAGGCACTTTTTATATAGCGCTCGAAGAGCTTCATATTCACACGAGAGAAGCTCATCTGAGGCAGGGAAGGGAAAGAGTTTCTATTGTTAAAGCAGAACAGTAGAAACAGTCCCCAGGGAAGAGCTTTGTATTCTGTCTCTGGAGACACTTGATACAATCCCTCTGTCTCTGACCCACACACACACCAGCCAGCCACGCCCACCCGCCAGCTGAAATCTCGTTGTTTCCTGGTTGTGTCACTGATAGTGACAGGGCCCAGGGTTCTGAGTGCCACATAGAGAGAGGGACAGCTGAATGACTGTCGTCACTTACACCTGGCGAGATGGCATTTTAATTAAATGAATTTAATGGATGTGGTTTGTGTTTGTGGACTTGGTGGTTGGAAGTGAAAAACAAAATGTTACACGGGGATATCTGCATTATTCATGATGTCATAAATTGGCCAGCTGTAATCGTTTGAAAGATGATTGGTCTGTCGGTGTGAGGTACATTGATAGGTCTTGACCGAGCATGTGTGTGGGCGGGCGGGCCTTATATAGGTAATTAGGAAAGGGGGGGATCGATTCATGAATTCTGCTATTTCAACTGCTATCCGTTCACTGTAAATTTCCCAAAACCATCGTTTTTTTGTCTCGTGCCTCAAACTCAGGAAAGTGATGAGAGGAATGTCAATGGGATTTTGCATGCAGCTCTAGACAGAAGGACAAATGGAAAACAAAATCATGCCGTTAAAGCCGGGGAGATTCTGTCTGAGGAAAATACAATTCAAGTAGTAACTTCTGGTTTTCAGTTTGTCTGTGTTTTCAACTATCTATCTCTGGCTTTTAAACATCTTTCTCTCCTTCGGCCCGTTTTTTAAAATCTTCTACCTCCCTATCTGTGTATCTCTGTGTTTGTTCTACAGATAATAAGTATGCCCCGGCGGTCACTCTGAACGGATACATCTTTATTCTGGGAGGAGCCTACGCCCGGGCCACCACCATCTATGACCCAGACAAGGGAAACATCAAAGCCGGACCTAATATGAACCACTCACGACAGTTCTGCAGGTAAGAACCAATATGAACCACTCACGACAGTTCTGCAGGTAAGAACCCATACGAACCATTCACGACAGTTCTGCAGGTACGAACCCATACGAACCACTGAACCATTCATGACAGTTCTTCAGGTAAGAACCCATATGAGCCACTCACGACAGTTCTGCAGGTAAGAACCCATTCAAACCACTATGAACCATTCACGACAGTTCTGCAGGTAAGAACCCATTCAAACCACTATGAACCATTCACGACAGTTCAGCAGGTAAGAACCAATACAAACCACTATGAACCATTCATGACAGTTCAGCAGGTAAGAACCCATACGAACCAAAATGAACCTTTCACGACAGTTCTGCAGGTAAGTACCTATACGAACCACTATGAACCATTCACGACAGTTCTGCAGGTAAGAACCCCTTTGAACCACTATGAACCATTCACAACAGTTCAGCAGGTGAGAAACCATACAAACCACTATGAACCATTCACAACAGTTCAGCAGGTGAGAAACCATACAAACCAATATGAACCACTCACAACAGTTCTGCAGGTAAGAACCCATATGAACAATTCATGACAGTTCTGCAGCTAAGGGGTTAACATTAACCAGTATGAACCACTTTAGGGGTCAGGATTATCCACCATTATAGATGTTGAATTAGAAATGTGTCTGATCGTGTAGATCTCACCAGATCCACAGGAATCCTGCAGGAACATTTTAATTGGTTGATGTCAGAGTCTAGCAGGAGTCAGAGTCAAGTCACGAGTCTGTATTTTTGTGACTGAAGTGAAATTCGAGTCCCGGTCTCAAGTGCCCAACTCTGGGGCCCAGTGTTTAGGACCCACCCTAGACACATACTCCTAAATACATTTAGGGAGCAATTCCAGACATATCTAAGTCTACCTAGTAAATGTACAACATAAATCACGCTGTCAGAATTATTGATAAACTATTCCCACACACACCAGCAGCTGTTCCACTACATTTAGCTTTCAGCTCGGTCTTACTGAATAAGAATGATGCTAGTTCAGTGATCACACACAGACAGATACACTACACTACACTACACACACTCAGCCAGCCCCATGCACCGACAGTCATTATAAACGAATGCGGACACTTCATTTTTCCTTTTCCCTGTCCTTGTGGCCCTAGTGTTGGTCCCTGGCTGAATTCTCCTTGTTTATCTTTAACAGCCCAGTTAGGCTTTAGCCAGCACTGTGTCCCATCTGGATCCGCTTTCCTTTTTCCTTCTGACTGGATTGACTCTTTATGTAATCATCTCATGGGTCCCATCAGTGATGTTTGTGTTTTTTTGTGTGTGTGTGTGTCTTATGTAAATAGCGATGGTGCCAGCCCCCAGTGAGATTACAAAACTGTAATCAGCTTACAGCCAAAGTTTTAATCCTCCCTCCCTACACACAGTCCTCTGTTTCTCACATCAAATGAGCACATTTGAAAATATATTTTTCATTCCTTTTTCTCTCTACGCAAAGTTAATTATTATCTCTCTTGGAAAGCGATGTCATGTTGAGAATGTCAGTAATTTTCCCTCACAGCAACAGGTTCAGTGATCAGACTCTCGCTCGCTCTCATTGTCTGCCTTTCTCCATCTGATGTTTAATGAATATTTCCACCATGAAGAGGATGGTTAGTCATGTTAGGTCACACCTTGCTGTCTGAACACCGTCCAGGGAAATGTAATTTACTGTTAATTACCTGATAAGGAACACCATAACAATAAATAAAATGTTGTTTTTGCTGAGATCTGCATAAGGTGAAACAGCGCCTCTGGTTGCCCCAGGCACATTTGTTTTTTAAACTGGGCAAAAAAATATTCATGGTAGCTATATACTCTGCTGTTCTATCACGCGTGCAATGATGCCGGAGGGAATTAAACAGTGTTTGTTGTTTGAGGTAACGTCTTTGTTGTTGAAATGTCGCAAACGGACGTAGCAGTTTCACTGCTACGGATTCCAGCTTTAATGTATATGTTGTTGTCATGGAAACTAATGATGCATCTCTATGGATTTATTCCTGGACATGTTTTGATCATGAATAACGTAATTAAAATGAATAACTTGATCTATGTTTTGTGTGTTTCTCTCTCTGCAGTGCGGTGATCCTGGATGGTAAGATCTACGCGACGGGGGGCATCGTGAGCAGCGAGGGTCCTGCGCTGGGCAACATGGAGACCTTTGACCCCCACACTAACAACTGGACGCTCCTCCAATCGCTGCCCTGCCCTCTCTTCAGACACGGCTGTGTCGTCATCAAGAAGTACATCCAGAGTGGCTGAGACCGGTTTCGAATTGGCTCAGGGATGAATGAGTTTCCCGAAAGCTAGCCAATGTGGCAGTTTAATTTCTCTTGACCATCCAGACCCACGGCACTCGTAGAACAGCAAAGTGCTTCATTTAGCTAATTTCGTTCACTTCACCCACAGAACTGTCAAATATAGATTTGACAATTATTGTTTATTCTCTCTGCTGTGGAGCTGGGTTGTTTAGAGAAACAAAGTGCCACGTTAGCGATGAAGCTTTTGGGAAACTCACCCCTGACCGGTTTGGTCTGGTTGGGACAGGACACTCTGTGCAGCTTTTGGGGTCAATCTGTCAGCACTGCTGGACTGGACTATCCAACTACAACACCCCCAGGACTTGATGCCAGCATTGTTGTCTTAACCCCATCCCACCTCTCCAACCCCCCTGTGCAGAATGTAGACGTCTTATCTTGAACCACTCTGCCATGTTAGGAACTGGTGCCTAAGCTACTGTATGTATTATAAAGCGTAGCTTAAAGGGATATGTCTGGATTTGGGGATTTGGGCCCTTTATCTACTTCCACAGAGTCAGATGAACTTGTGGATACCATTTTTATGTTTCTGTGTTCAGTTTGAAGGAATTTGGAGGCAGTTGCACTAATGCTAGTTAACCAACTAGCTCTAACTTCCTTCATACTCAACACAGAAACATAAAAATGGCATCTACGAGTTCATCTGACTCTGGGGAAGTAGATAAAGGGCCTCACTGCCAAAATCCCGAAGTATCCCTTTAACCCTCTCATTATATAGGCACAGGGCCACTCCAGGCTAAAGCTCCTTGGTTTGTAGTTCCCAGCTTCTTGCTAACTAGTCTTTGGTTTGATACATAGTTATTTTAGTTCCGGCCCTTCTTTGTGTTCCTTGACTCAAGTATATTAAAAGCCATCCCAGTCTTTGTCGCTCTAGTGGTTTCTGTTACGAAGGTAAAACATATCTGTCCAAATGGGATGATTTGTTTATGAGGACATTCAGTAGTGGCGTTTAGGACAGGAGAACATGTCTGTGTATAAAGGGACAGTGGGTTTTAGAAACATGTTAGGAAACAAAACTTCTAACTGTGATGAGAAAGATCAGCTGCTGCTGGGTGAGGAGCTTCGTTTTTGTCTGGATGTTTCCCCCCCTCGGTTTATAAGGACACATTGGATACTTGCAGTCTTTCTGGGCCAAAAACAGCACTGTTGACGGATGACTTAACTGGCAGCACCGAAGGTAGGGTGGCCCTGCATCTTGACATCACAAAGACACTCCAACGGGGCATTTCTCCTCCACACGGCCAAAGCACAATAACCACTTGTGGCTCCCAAGGATCAAACTTTTTCACCTGCGCTACAGTGCGATAGAAATTGAAAGGCAATGTTCCCACACTGCATTCACGGTAAACGCTGCATATGTCGGATCAATCGGAAATTTCCTTTAAATTTCAATCGCTACGGATTTAATCAAGCCCTGAATCTGTTTTTCTCAATCTTTATTTTTGTTCCATCCATTGTTTTATACAGTGCCTTCAGAAAGTATTCATATTCCTTGAATTTTTCCACATTTTGTTACAACTTGATATAAATTGATTGTCTCACTGATCTACACGGGATACCCCATGTCAGTGGAATTTTTTAGACATTTTTACAAATTAATAAAAAATGAACGCTGAAATATCTTGAGTTATTAAGTTCAGGAGTAAACATTTGCATGGGCTCTGTGTGCAATAAGTGGTTAACATGATTTTTTGATAAATATTTTAAATATCATAATTTTTCTTCCACTTTGACGGTGGGTGTAGATCGTTTACAAATTAATTTTAATCCCACTCTAACAAAATGTGGAATAAATCAAGGGGTGTGAATACTTTCTGAAGGCAATGTATTTGTATATAATTTAGCCCTAGTGTTGGGTGGGTGGGGTATGGATGGGGGGACATTCTGTAAATACCCGGAGGAAATATGTATATTTTAAAACCTGGTGATTCTAAATGTTTTTAGAAGAAAGAAAAAAGTGCTAGGTTGGACTTTAAAAATTGTCTAAATCTGTACCCAAAAATTAAAAACGATTGAAACATAATACATACACATACCACAATATGATAATTGTCGAGTCATTTTTGTTTGAGTGAAACGCTCAACTTCGTTGTCTTCTATCGAAGCGGAGTTGAGTTTTGATAACTGGTCGAGCGATTTGCAAGCAACACCTTCAGTTGACTTTTTACAAGTACGGACTAATGGTGACGCCAATTATCAAAACTAAACTCCGCCTCTATATAAGAGAACGGAGTTGAGTGAAACAAGCCGTTATGCCAGAGGATGATGTTTTATACATAAAGCTTTGAGTGAATGGTTGTTTGAACCCAGCAATACACTTAACATGACATTCAAACATATATAAAAAAGGGCTGGATTCAAACCGTAGATCGCATTATAGCTCAAATTAAAAGGCAATGTTCCCGCATTCGGAGACTGCGTTCACGGTAAACGCCGTATATGTTAGTTCAATTAGAAATTACCTAAATTTTTTACGCGGATATTCCGCGATTGAATCCAGCCCTAATACTTGCAGTTGTCTTTTCTTACGAGCGCTCATCGCTGCTTTGAGGGAAAGTTTTAATTACTATGACTGGTTCTCACCTGAAATGTTGGATTGCGTGATCGAAATTTGAAGGTAAATTCCGATTGAGCCGACATATGCCGCGTCTACCGTGAATGCAGTTTTCGCTAACGTGAAAATTGCCTTTCAATTTCAATCACGCGATACAGATTAGGTAACTAGTGTCTGGATTCAAAGATGAATGAATAAACATAAATCGCGCTGGATAAGAACGTCTGCTAAATTATTAAAATGTACAAATATTAAGGCATATAACCTCTTTACAACAAATAAAAGGAATCAGTTTCAAAGCCAAAACTATTGTTCAGTCGTTTGACAGGCATGTGCACTGCTCAATTGAGGTCAACCAGCACTGAGGAAATGAAAGAAAGCGCTTGACAAAAAGTACAATTTGCACCTTTATTCAAGTTTATCACAGCAGTTTATTTCAGAAATACAGTAAAGGTTTCATTTAAAATATAACACACTAAAGTAACACGAATGGGAAGAGGATGTTCAATACACTAACCTCAAAGAAATCATTAAACATTGCGATGCTACGGGAAAAAACCCTACTCAATGAATCCCACCCGAAAAGAGGAAAACTCAGTATTTAATGTATTTAAGATAAAATAAGAAACAAATTTAAGTTGTGATGGAGAATTGTGCTCATTCCGCATACTGGACTAAGTCGTTTTCAACTACCAGACAAAAATTGGTTGTTTGTCCAAACTAGCTAAAATGTATAGACAAGAATAACGAGAGGATGACAAAAATGTATGACATTCTAAAACCCAAATATTTTATTCCCAAATTCAAAAAAATCATAATGCTGACAAACTATTACTTGGTTGAGTCTGCAATGCGAATAAGATTTACATTACCAACACGCTATTGTATTTTTTGAAGTAAAAATTCCGATAAGTCAACGTTAGCCTCGTCCAGTATGCCACAGTCCATAACCACAAAACAAAAGAAAAAACATCACCACAATGGAATAAATGTGTAGCCTGAAGAAACCTGAGACACCTGTAACCTCCTTTATTCCCCGAAACACGCCAAAACCTGTTACACAAGCGCTACCTCAGCACTAAGCTCAAATAACTTTGAGTAACAACTTTTCCCAATTTGTTAAATTTTTCAAATATACAAAGACAGTTAATGGATATTAGACAAAAACATGTTGAATAATTATGTTAATAAATAAAAAGAAAATAGAACACCACGAGAAAAAGAGATGAGTCTGCAAACACAATCGAGCTCAATTTAAAAAGAGGAGATCGTGGTTAAATGGACAGAAGACTAGCAATAGCCTGTAAAATAGTGTAGTAGTGCGATCTGAAAGGAAGGCAATCTTAGGACGACTGTCTACAGAACTGAAATATACAGTTTGACATTTCCTTGAACTTAAATGCTGTATGTTTTGTCTCGGCTCAAATGCAATAAAGATAACCCAGAAACAAACAGAAAAGATGAGAACCAACCAAACAAACTGGTGTTACCGCGGCAGCCACAGAACTTGTGCTGATGATCCAGTACCTTAGCAGTACTAGTGTTGTGACGATGGTTTGGAACATGGCCTAATACTGTTCGCACCCAGTAAACTGTTTGTCATATTAGCATTAAAATAAATTAAGCTGAGGTAGCTTTGTTTCTCTCTGCAGTAGTCCAATGCTTACGCCTCAAAATGCTAGTTTGCATATTCTTAAATGATTAACTTTGTTAAATCTTCACCCAGCGATCCAAGAGAAGGCAGAGGTGGAGTTAGGGTGGAGAGCACCGGAGGTTGGAGTTTGGTTCAGCATGAGGCAGGGCTTTATAACTCTCCAATCTTAGAGAGCTACTAGGTGGTGCAGGATTTTGATAAAGCCCAATTGTGATCCAGACTGAAGAAGACCATGTTTAGTTGATTATTTGAAACAGGTGTTTTGGTTGGAACAAAAGCCTGTACACCTAGTAGTTATCCAGGACCTGAGTTGAGTTAGAACCCTGGCATTATGAATTATTTGAATGTGAAAGAGTAAAAGGGTTGTCTGTTTGACCCCAGCGGCTGACACTGGCCACATCTGGTCAAAACATTAACTTATCCGTCGCCAAGGAAAGCCAAGAAAAAAAGTTGAAAAGCAAATGCATATATCTTTACCACAAGATTAACATGGATCTGCAATAGCGGATTACACCCCTTCCACTGCCTTCAGGCGTAGACAATAAAAAAACAAAAGCATCAACAAATGAATTAAGAAAAACAATATAATGCTGTTATAACCTCAACAGAATGGCCTTGTTCAGCATCAGAAGCTTCACAATCAATGCAATAACAATCCAAACATCGTTGCCAACGTATCGTATAAAATTGAAAAAGGTTAAAAACAAATATCTAACAAATGCGCAACAAACAGGCGTAGTCGCACCAAAACTCAGCACCTAATTGAGGGAATTTATTTTGGGGAAAAATGGCACCACAATTTTTTACCTCCGTCCACACGGAATAAATAATAAAAACCCTACTGTCCTCAAAATCCTTCTTTACTTATTCCACCTGCGTAGGAAAATACTATTTTAAAAGCAGATCTTCTTTCCTACTGTGACTATCCTGAGTTCGGTACTGTAGAAGTGACCTCTATCCGCTGGGCCTGGGTCAGATATTATCCCCCACAAAAGGTTAAAGTTAGGATTGGGAGTTGGGTGAACTGATCCTAGATCTGTGGTTAGTAAGGGGGAAACGCCTACATCGAACCCACTGTACTGCACTACATTGAACAGAACAGTTGAAAGAAAAAAGGTTCTTTCAGAAATATGAAAGTTAATTGGGGGTTAAATAAGGCACATGCTAGGCAGTGCAAACTACAAGAAGTGTCCAATTAAATCGCTTCCAGTTAGTTTGGTGTGGATGGATAGGAAATAAAAACTAGCAGGGCACAGCTTGTGTGGAAGAAAAAACGGACTGAATTACAGACAGAGACGTGATTCAGCTACCACAAGCAGCACATGCCAATCTGTTTGATACGACTGTGAAAAGCTAAAAAAGACTTGCTTGTTTGATGTTGACAGACAATTTTGTTTCAGTTGATGCATTCCAGTAACACGTTTTATTATTAAGGGGGATTTGATGTTCTTGTAATCAGTTTGCCAGTTGGCAATTGATTCTAACCAGAGCCATATCTTTCTGTATCCCTATGTAATGTATGGCTCGGAATTCTGGCCCACCAGTTCAACATCAACTTACTGTATCGTCACGTTCAAAACATTTAATGGACACTGGGCGAGAAGGGTGGCTATTAGATCCATATCAATCAAAATTCTATCAATTATATTGATTGATTAGATCCAGATGCTAATCAAACCGAGCTGTTTGAATGACTAAGTATGATCTGTAAGCTGTTGTATCTATGAGATGACTGGCCTATGATGCTGATTCAGTACAGTACTGAGAGAGGAGATGGGCTCAGCAATGGTAACGAAACAGGAGACTGCCTCAACCTCCTAGCTAACTGCACACACACACACACACTGCTGGTGACAATCTGTGCCTGGGATTACTGTGTGTATAACTAAGCACATATGTAGCTTACATGTCGGGTGTGTGTGTCTATGTGTGTGCATGTACGTTTGGTCAGTTCAAAAGTAGGCCGTATTGAGATATGACATCACCCAATCTGTTTTGTTGGTTAGTTAGTTTCTGAGTTACTCCCCAGAGCCCCATGGATTAGGTTAGCACCTGAATAGCACCAGGGACGCCCCTTTCACCGTTCCTGTGTATGTCTGTGTGCGCGTGTCCATGAGTCTGTTTGGTTGTAGACTGTGTCTGGGTCCGACCAGGGTACCTGAGACTATAGCACCATAGAAAGTCTCTCTTTTTCTCCTTGGTCTTTATTTTTCCTTGTTCTGTCGTTTACTTTAAGACCAGGGCTATGTATTTGCTCTGTGTGTGAGGACTTGGCCCAAAGGCTGGTCTCTGTCCCTCTCGCCCGTGTGTGTGTTCAGAGTCTAAATCAGGGTCAACCTGACTGTCTCGCTGGGTCTCACAGGAATGTAATGAAATTCTGGACTTTCCTCTCCATCTCCTGAAAAAAAAACAGAAAACAAACAGGTCAGAATATATAGTCTGTATGAATCACATCTGTTTACACAATGATCACTTGAATGTTACCACTGAAACCACAAGCTTACTAATAGGTGCACAATGAATTAAAATGAGCCATGTTGGCACCAAACGCTCCAAAAGAAGCATATGCTAAAAAGGTTTGTCCCCCCCCCCCCAAAAAAAGAAAAGGTTTTTCAACATGGCTAAGTGAGGTGTTATTCTCAATGTCATTAAGAATGTGAGTTCTACACACTAAGTAGATGAGGTGAGTTACCCCTATACAGTGTAAAGCACATTAAGACCTGCTGAAAGGTGCTATTAAAAAGTAAGCCCATTAACTTTACACTGCAACTGAGAATAGAAAATCCCAGAAAGCTTTACCTAGACAGATGGACATACCTGCTTTTAACACGTGTGTGTGTGCATGTTATCGGGCTGCTGATAATTTTTTGACTTAAATTTAACACCTTCCTGAGGTGTTAGAAAGACACCCTGTTCTATCACCCTGCTTCTCTTAGCGCTATGTGGCTTACAGTCCTCACACCCTGTCACTGTAAAGCCTTCCACATGCTTCGGCTAGGCCAACCGAACCAGTGTGCTCGCATACTCCCTTAAAAGACCTTCGCTTGAAAAGCAAGAAAAAAGTGGCAATAGAACTGTAGCCAGAAGACACTTCCTCAAAATAGTCAGAAATAAGTAATTCATTTTGGTATTTTTGCAGAGGTGATCTAAGTCACGCAATTTTACATCTAACTAAGATGTTTGGTGCAGTATTTCTCAAGTGAAAAAATTTGCTTAAACGATTCGTCTCTCGTTGAATGACAAACACTTTTTTGAAGAATCCTTACTGTTGACCGATCACCGACGAAGGTGTGTAGACTTCGGCTTGCCTCTGAAAATCTCCACTTTCTCCTCCAGAAATTAAAAAAAATTAACACTGGTCTCATAAACAATCTATCAAGCACCACATGCTAGTGAGTAGCCAGCTAATCTTATATTTCAAGTTTAGCCAACTTGGATCTATTTGAATTGTTATGAACACACCCTTCTGTCAGTCTCCAACTGTTTATACAGCATGCTAGTTTTTTATGCTCTTCGCACATTTTTTAAACACAGACTAGACAGCTAGTTTAACAGTCTGTGGCTAAAATGCTTCTAGCGGTATGTGGTACCGCAATGCGCGGGCATGACAGAAACTGAGCATTTACAGAGTCAATGTTCATTGATACTCCCGTTTTAGTAGGGTCTGCTGTTCGCACAATTTGAGGAGTTGAGACATACAAAGGGTATCATTAGAATGGTTAACTTCTCTTCTATTACAGTAAAATCATATTTCAATGTGTTTCGGTGTCCATATGACCGATTCTGTTAGACCAAATCTCAAATAACGAGTTGAAACCGCTTGTCAGAGAGGAAGTGATATTTTGTCTTTGTTGTTGTGTGTGGCAGGGGGAGGGGCTTGGTGTCTGTGCGAGTGGGAAGGTGCACAGTGCACACAGAATAGAAGGAGACAAGACCAAAAAGACAAACGCTTCTAAAAATGGGCAATTTTTTAAATTAAAACCTTGATTCTTGTGATACAGGCATTTGGAACATTGCGCTAAAACAAAATTAATTTGATATATCGCCCAGCCCTAACATTCCATTCTGTCTCCCCATGCCCTGCCAAGCACATACAAGATGAAGGACGACAACAACAGACATCTTTTACCAACACACAGTGTGTTCTAAAGGGCTAGTGTGTCGGTCTGCTCTAGGTGGCTGGGTTATTAACGTGCTGTAGACGTGCCTGATCTGTTGAGCAGCTGTGTTAACAGAAACAACTCTGGTCCCTGGACAGGAGAATCACCAACATGACCAGGCATACAACCCTCCTCTCTCTAGCGGCCAGCCTGTATGTCTGTCCAGTGCGTCCACAGCAGCACCCCCGCTGTCCTCGCTCTGACAGCACTAGCCATAGACATTTCTATCTGCCTCTAGTTAATGCGACCCTCACACAACACAGGCTACTCCCTCTGTAGCACTCAGTATGACTATGTGTCAGACAATGTGGCAGTTGTTAGGCCTACTACCGTCACACCTGTAGTAGACTTCAGTCTCACCATTAGCTTCCAGAAACCAGGCACACATCTACCGCAGAAGAGTATTGGAAGGGTCAAATAAGCTTTTGTCTGTGTGTACAGTGCCTTCAGAAAGTGTTATCACCCCTTGCCTTTTTCCACATTTTGTTGTATTACAGGCTGAATTTTAAATTGATACAATTTAGATTTTGTGTCACTGACATAAGTGGAATTTTGTTTGTAGAATTTTTAACAAATTAATTAAATGAAAAGCTCAAATGTCTTGAGTGAAGTATTCAACCCCTTTGTTATGGCAAGCATAAATAAGTAAAGGAGTAAAAAGTTGCTTAACAAGTCAGTGTGTGCAATGGTAGTGGTTAACATGATTTTTGAATGACTACCTCATCTCTGTACCGTCCCTCTGTCGATTAGTGAATTTCAAGCACAGATTCAGCCACAAAGACTTCACCATGAGGCCAATAGTGATTTTAAAACAGTTACAGAGTTTAATGGCTGTGATAGGAGAAAACTGAGTTACTCCACAATACTAACCTAATTGACAGAGTGAAAAGAAGGAAGCCTGTACACAATAAAAATACTAAAACATGCATCCTGTTTGAAATAAGGCACTAAAGTAATATTGCAAGAAATGTGGCAAAGAAATGAACTTTTTGTCCTTAATACAAAGCGTTATGTTTGGGGCAAATCCAACACAACATCACAGAGTACCACTCTTCATATTTTCAAGCATGGTGGTGGCTGCATCATGTTATGGTTATGCTTGTCATCGGCAAGGACTAGGGAGTTATTTAGGATAAAAAATAAATGGAATAGAGCTAAGCATAGGCAAAATCCTAGAGGAAAACCTGGTTTAGTCTGCTTTCCAACAGACACTAGGAGACATTCAATTTTCAGCAGGACAATAACCTAAAACACAAGGCCAAACCTACACTGGAGTTGCTTACCAAGATGACATTGAATGTTCCTGAGTGGCCTAGTTTCAGTTTTGACTTAAATTAGCTTGAACATCTATGGCAAGACTCGAAAATGGCTGTCTAGCAATGATCAAAAACCAACTTGAAGAACTTGACAAAGCTTGAAGAATTCCTAAAAGAATAATGGGCAAATATTGTACAATCCAGGTGTGGAAAGCTCTTAGAGACTTACCCAAAAGCACTTACATCTGTAATAGATGCCAAAGGTAATTCTAACATGTATTGACTCAGGGGGTTGAATACATATCTAATGAAGATATGTATATATGTGTTTTATTTTTCATTTAAAATTTTTTTTATTTGACAGAGTATTGTGTGTGGATCATTGACAAAAAAGGACAATTAAATACATTTGAATCCCACTTTGTAACATAACAAAATGTGTAAAAAGTCAAGGGGTGTGAATACTTTCTGAAGGCACTGTGTGTGTGTCTGTAGCTGTGTGTGTGTGTGTGTGTGTGTTTGTCTAACCTCCAGTAGCCGTGTCTTGTCGTAGTCCAGGCGGTGTTGGTAGATGCACTGACTGAGGAGAGAGAAGAGTCTCTCTAAGCGCTCCACGCTGTAGCCTTCACTCCTCTCTACAACGGTGTCCAAGAGGACCTGGGAGAAGAGAACACACCTTATACACACTATATTATTATACACATCACAAAAGACAAGCTGCCTCTGAGAGAACACATTCAGGCCATAGACATGAAAAATCATGATCACACACAAGTACAGCATTTAATGCAACAGGGAACATACACACATACCCTGCATTCACATTACAAGCACAACTCTCTCACACCAAAACACACAAATGGAGGTCAGCTATATTCAAAAGCAATTAAGATCAGAGGGACAGCTAATTCCAGCAAATCATAATTAGCTCAGTGTTTACTTTTCTTTGCTTATTTAATCAAAACACTCTGGCCAGTCAAAGACCCTTTCGATTGACCTGCTCCGTCTCAGCTTGCCACAGTGTGTGTGTTCATCAAAATGCATAGACTGTAAATCTAGTCTAGTGTGATTTGCTATTTCAGTCATTAGATACCTGGCAAACAGAGAAACCCTGACGGGAATGGTGTGTGTGTGTGTGTGTGTCAGAAGAACAAGGTGTGTGTTCCTCAGTGAAATGTCAGGATTATTAAAGTGAGGTGATGTCTATTTGTTCAATTGCAAATAATGACACAGTGACTCTTAGAACACACTGAAAAGTCTGACTATTTTACCCATCGCACTACTGTATCAACTTCCTCCTCCTTTTTCAACCCGTGTCTCTCCACATCTAGGCCTATGCTTCTTCCTCTTAATCTCCCCCCGTCGTCGTCCTTCTCTCGACTTTCTGCCTCTCTCCTTGTTAGATGGCTGATTTAATCAGCTGTGCCTTTGTCCAGTTGCCCAGGCCAATAGTGACAGCGGGGGTAAGGTGTGTGTGTGTGTGTGTGTGGTAGGATTGCAGACCCCCTGAGGTAGTAAGCTCCCAACATACAAAGGAGCTGTAATCCAGCCTGTTAAAGGGGGCTGTGACACGGACCATTTAACTCCCCCCTCCCTTCCTCTATCCCAAACCACCCTCCTCCCCATCACAGCTCTATCCCCCCGCTTTCTCTCAACCTCTTCCGCACCATCTCAGCCTTGTTTCTTGCTAATGCACCCTCTTAGGTACAGAGCGGGAGAAGGACAGAAGGAGGGACAGAGAGAGAAATAGGGGAAAGAAAAGAGAAAACATATGAGCGAGAGAAGGAACCCAGACGGGAGGACGAAGCGCTTTATTGGTGTCATAGCCATGGTAACCTCTGACCTATCAGCTCAGGCACAGCATGAGGCCAAGCAGATGACTACACCAGTACGTCAACAGCAACACACACACACACCCTTCTCCATACACACCCCCAACTCTGCAGACACACCCACAACCAACAGTAGACACACTGCCAACTCAATACCCACACAGTGTTAACATGGCTGTGTTCCCTGCGTGTTTCAGCCCATCAAGGGCAGCTAACGAGGCCTCTGACAGGCTCCCTGTGATTCTGAGAACATAGACCTGAAACTGAGAACAGCACACATCACCTCTACAAACGCACACTGCAGTAACAAACATCACAGCAACACACACCGCTAACTGCGCACACAAACACGTCCACCTGGTGCTCCTGGAGCCCAGCCCTGTACCATGTGAATCTCTGAATTGGAGACCAAGGCACAGCTTATGCCAGGGTACAGAAATAGCCACAGCATTGGGTGTGAACGCTTTGAACTGGCGAGCTGATGACTTAAATGCGTGTTAACAGTTAGTGTTACATCGGCATCTAAATGTCTCACGTCTCACCCTGCAGAGCCTGCGGTTATTAGTGTATACATGTTAGCTAGCATTGATACTCAACACCAGCCCTTAAATCAGTGATGATCCCTTACTGGGAACCCAGATGTCACACTAAACACGTGATAAGCTTTCACCTCACAACACCTTTAGAATTCTTATGAAAGTGAAGGAGCGAATACATCATGGTCATGTGCTGATGCTTTGAGATCACTGGACATAGGTCGTGAATGTCAATCACACTTAATACAGCTATCTGTTTTTGCCTGTCTCTAGCAGTTCTTGGTGTAATGGAAGGCCCTTTCACAGTGTTTCATATGGAGGACTGTGTGCTAGTGTTGATCTTCTGTGGATTCAACAGCTGTAGTGTTAGGTGGGCTGTAGAAGGCTGTGTATTAGGCTGCTAGAAAACACAGATGAGCCTGCTGCTCTAGCCCTGGGAATGAAGTACACACACACACACATACACACAGAGAAAGAGAGAGAGAGAGAGGGAGGCAGAGAGAGGGGGAGAGCGAGAGAATAACTGGATGCTCCACAGTATCCATCACCAGGGATGTTATTAACAGGATACTTAAGGATTTTGGCAATGAGGCCCTTTATCTACTTCCCCAGAGTCAGATGAACCATTTTTATGTCCAGTATGAAGGAAGTTAGAGGTAGTTTTGCGAGCGCTAGTTAGCAACTTACTTCAAACTGCACGCAGACACATAAAAATGGTACCCACAAGTTCATTTGACTCTAAGTAGATAAAGGGCCTCATTGCCAAAATCCTGAAGTATGCCTTGAAGCTTTAAAAACAGAGACATGTCTGGACATGACCGTCAGGTGGTATTGGGGACATGACCGTCAGGTGGTATTGGGGACATGACCGTCAGGTGTTATTGGGGACATGACCGTCAGGTGGTATTGGGGACATGACCAACAGGTGGCATTGGGGACATGACCAACAGGTGGCATTGGGGACATGACCAACAGGTGGCATTGGGGACATGACCAACAGGTGGCATTGGGGACATGACCAACAGGTGGCATTGGGGACATGACCAACAGGTGGTATTGGGGACATGACCAACAGGTGGTATTGGGGACATGACCAACAGGTGGTATTGGGGACATGACCAACAGGTGGTATTGGGGACATGACCAACAGGTGGTATTGGGGACATGACCATCAGGTGGTATTGGGGACATGACCATCAGGTGGTATTGGGGACATGACCATCAGGTGGTATTGGGGACATGACCATCAGGTGGTATTGGGGACATGACCATCAGGTGGTATTGGGGACATGACCATCAGGTGGTATTGGGGACATGACCATCAGGTGGTATTGGGGACATGACCATCAGGTGTTAAGAAGTTTATCTGGGACAGATGCTAGCCTCATTTGAGGGGACTTGGCTGTGTCATGGGCCTGGTATGGGGAATAGAAGATGGCATACACCTGTGGCAAATTCTTCCATTAATTCCAGTCACTGGCGTACCTGACACCCTGACACCCTCGCAGCCCCAGCAAGCTCTGGGAGCCCATGCGCCTGTCATTGATGTCTATTTTTATATATATCATTGACAGTAAACCTCAAAAAAGTCATTCATAAACCTTTTTTCATTTCCATATGTAATAGGAAGCTAAGTGTTGTTTCTTGGGCTTCAGGAATGTAACTGAAAAAGTGCCTCAGGCCTTGAAAAATATTGAAAGTATAAGGGGATATCAGTGAACAAATGCTGTAGTCAAGGCTACGACGTTGCCAGTGCAATGAGTGGAGCTTACTCAGTTGTTCAAAAGCGCAGAGAGCCTAATGCTTCTTAGGTAGTTCTTTGTGAGTTTTAGTTTAGAAAACGATCCCTACGCAGAAGCGACAGTTACAGGGATGGTAAAAACAGCTTGATTGTCGTAGCAACATCAGGGAATTTGGGCAGAATGTATTGGTGCTTCAAATACATCAGTTCAGCGACATCTTTGAGCCGCTCATTCTCCTTAATTGCTGGCTTCAACACATTATGGAAAGAGATTAACTGTATTTGAAGCTCTGGGGATAGGTCATCTGGATACTGGACAGACAATACATTGTCAGAAGCAAACAGATTATCATCTTTAGCAGACAACAGTTCTTGAGGGCTTGAACAAAATAAGCGGTTTGCGATTTAGTTCATACTGGTGAACCGGCATTTGAGTTGTGTGGTTGCAATATCAACAGTCCCTTATCTCTGGTATATCTTGGCATGCATCATTCAAGACTACGTTTAAATTGTGTGCAGCGCAATGGACATATAATGCACAATGTCTCAGGAAAGACTGTTTGGGTTGGCCATTCTCGGTATAGAAAACTGTCAGTCTCGCAACCTGGACCTACAGGCTGTGGTGAAAACATTTGCACACAAAAAAGGAGGACTTCAGGAGACCAGGGGAGTCTCTCAATTTAGATTGTATTTCATTTACCTTGAATATTGCAGCCCATTTGTGGGGGCTATTAGCCAGACAAAACCCACTGAGTTCAACAATAGTGGCTGAATTTATCCTCAAGCCGACTACTTTTTTCCTCATTGTTAGGCTATATGATGTGTAATTATTATAAAAAAATATATAAATGGCAGCTAAATAGTAGCTAAATACACTATATAGCTATAGATAGTAGGCTGCATAATGAAACAGTCCCTAGTAAGCTAGTGTTTTGAGGGTGGACTGGTTATTATTTGACATTAATAGACTGGTTTTAAGCACAACTTTCTATCAAAGCTGGGAGAGAGCTCGAAGATGGCTCATGTCATGCAGCTTCAGGTAGCCTATAGCCCACAGGATAGTTGTATATTCTAAACTAGCTGATAAGTATGCTGCTGTATCAAAAATTAATTTGAATTTCCAACTTTAATTACTGAATAAGTGATTCCATTATTGCCACCAGCCAGCAGTCTAAAAATGGCAGCATAGCGATACAGTATATAGCTTCGTGAAATGTTAGGCTTAACATGAGAAAATGAGGACCAAATAGGCCTACCAATAAACATTTATCCATTAGCTAAAGCAAAGCTATAGCCCAAACCAACACCCCAACTATTTCCTATTGCTCCTGACCTACAGTGCCTTCAGAAAGTACTCACACCCTTGACTTTTTCCAAATGTTGTTGTGTTACAGCCTTAACATTGATGAAATTGAGATTTTGTGTAACTAGACTACACACAATACCCCAGAATGTCAAAGTTTTTTACAAATTAATTACAAACGAAAAGCTTAAATGTCTTGAGTCAATAAGTATTAAACTCAAATTCAAATGTTTGAAGCCTAAATAAGTTCAAACATTTGCTTAACAAGTCACATAATAAGTTGCATGGACTCACTCTGTGTGCAATAATAGTGTTTAACATGACTTTTGAACGACTATCTCACTTCAGTCGAGCAGTGAATTTCAAACAGATTCAACCACAAAGACCAGGGAGGTTTTCCAATGCCTCGCAAAGAAGGGCACCTATTGGAAGATGGGTTGAAAAAAGTAAAGAAGCAGACATTGAATATCCCTTTGAGCATGGTAAAGTTATTAATTAAACTTTGGATGATGTATCAATACACCCAGTCACTACAAAGATACAGGCGTCTTTCCTAAGTCCGTTTCCGGAGAGGAAGGAAAGCACTCAGGGATTTCACCATGAGGCCAATGGTGACTTTACAACAGTTAGAGTTTAATGGCTGTGATAGGAGAAAACTGAGGATGGATCAACAACATTGTAGTTACTCCACAATACTAATCCAATTTACAAATTGAAAAGGAAACCTTTACAGAATAAAAATACTCCAAAACATGCATCCTGTTTGCTATAAGGTACTAAAGTAATACTGCAAAAATGTGGTAAAGCAATTAACTTTTTGTCTTGAATACAAAGCGTTATGTTTGGGGCAAATCCAATATAACACATTACTGAGTACCACTCTCCATATTTTCAAGCATACTGGTGGCTGTTATGGGTGTGCTTGTAATCATTAAGGACTGGGGAGTCTTTCAGGATAAAACATTAACGGAATGGAGCTAAGCACAGGCAAAATCCTAGAGGAAAAGCTGGTTCAGTCTGCTTTCCACCAGACACTGGGAGATCAATTCACCTTTCAGCAGGACAATAACCTAAAACACAAGGCCAAACCTACACTGGAGTTGCTTACCAAGAAGACAGTGAATGTTCCGGAGTGGCAGAGTTACAGTTTTGACTTCAAATCTACTTGAAAAATCTATGGCAAGACCTGAAAATGGTTGTCTAGCAATGATCAACAACCAATTTGACAGAGCTTGAAGACTTTTGAAAATAATAAATGGGCAGATGTTGCACAATTCAGGTATGGAAAGCTCTTAAGAGACTTACCCAGAAAGACTCACAGCTGTAATCACTGCCAAAAGTGCTTCTACAAAGCATTGACTCAGGGGTGTGAATACTTATGAAAATTAGATATTTATGCATTTCATTTTCAATACATTTGCAAAAATGGCTAAAAACATGTTTCACTTTGTCATTATGGGGTATTGTTTGTAGATGAAAAAAATATATATATTGAATTCAGGCTGTAACACAAAATGTGGAATAAGTCAAGGGGTATGACTACTTTCTGAAGGCACTGTACATGTCCTGGCACCACAGAAAGCCTATCATCGGCATGCAGCTGCATAGACGTCACTATTTCAGCACCATGGAAAGCGATTGGTAGTCTATACTTTGTGAGTGGCTGTCTGGGTGACACAGATTTGTTTTATTTTAGCGAGGGGGGGAGGGGAATCCGACCTTGCGGGGGTCCAGAGAAACTGAGTTACACCAGTGACTCCTGTGCAATATTGACTCCAGCAGCGCTTGTTGAGTGTGAGTGTGTGAGCGACTGATTGCTGGAGTTGTTCTCAGCTCTTAATGCCACAATAATAAACTCACAAGTGGATGAGGTCAGCAATTAGCCTCTCTGTAGAGTCTGTCTATAGCTAGCTGTTATCTGAGAAAACATTGGACTCCAATCTATTCTCCCCTCGTGCTTTTCTCCCTCCTCTTTTCGCTCATCTCCTTCCTTTTCTCGCTTTTCTTTCCTCTCTTCTTCCCCTCCCTCGCTTCCCTCTCCTCTCCTTGCCCTTTCATCTTCAGTATTTTGTCAAAAGCATACAGCCTCAGACAGTTAGGCCTAACCTGACAGCTTGGACATAAATGAACGCATTATGCCACTCACACTTTCACAGAGAAACGCTTTTGACAATGTAGATTAGAGTGGGGAAAACACGACTATGTGCCGTGTGTGTGTGCTAGTCACTCACGGAGAGTGGTTTTGGACATGAGGAGCGGATGACTGGTTTATTTTTGGGTGTGTGCATGTTCTCGCTCTGTGTGTGTGTAAGCGCACGCATGTGTGTTTTGCTGATGTGCTGACGTAGCTGGATCCCGACGTGGATGAAAGCCTTTTCAAAATGCCAGTCCTCCAAATGGAAAACTGTTATCACATGCAAATGGCCGCTCTGTCAAAAACATCAACGGGGATGAATAAAAATGAAAAGGAAGCAAGCACTCCAAAAGTTATTTATTTTTATTGACAATCAAAACGCTTCGCTCCTGGCACCGGCCATTAAGCAGTTTTCTTCCCCTAGCAGGTGTTCACTCTCGCCCTCTCTCTCTTCTCTGCCTCTCTGCTGTTATTAGTGTTGGAAATGGGCAGAGATGACAAACTGAAAATGGGTCTATTTCTGTGGATGGACAGCTCTGAAATGGGAAATCTTGACATGCTGTAATAGTTAGACAGCAGGGGAGAGAGAGGAGTCTTCAGTATGACAGCCTATATATGCACACTGGGCATTTGCAGCTGCTTAACACATCTAAGGAAAATTGCCCTGCCTGGTCTTGTAGCCAAGCCTGCGTGTTCTTTGGGGAGGTGGATAGAAAGAATGGGATGAGATTTGATTCCCTAATAGATGATCATTCTGCTGTAATCTAGGGCACAAGACTAACGTTTTCCCCTGGTGGCACTAACTTTCACAAATGGTGGCACCAGCCCATGATTTGGTCGCACAGCCAAGTCAAAGGGTCGTAAAGCGCAACTACAATGGTCACTGCCGGGAGCTCTGGCACTTATGAGAAGGTTCTTTCTGTCTGTCAGTGTAGCTGATTATTCATTAAACAGAGAGGGGCAGGGTATAATGCTCAACGACAGTGCTTCACTAGTTTCTTCAACCTGGTCCTGGGGATGTGCACATTTTTTAAGAGCTGGGAATTGCCAGGGACCTCACGATACGATATTATCAACATACTTAGGTACCGATACGATATGTATTACGATTTTCATGATTCTATATGTATTGCGATTCAATACTGCAATTTTATTGCGATTTGATGTTCCAAACATACAGTATTTCGCACTATATGTCTGCTGCAGAGAGACAAGAGAGCATGAGAAAACAAGTTTTGATCCGTCAGGGAAATAAAAAAGTGCTGAAAACATATTGGCTCACTATTTCAAAAGAAGATGGAGAATAAGCTATAGGACAAAAAATTGAGTTTTGTCTCAGGTATAGCCGACTAGCACTAGCTAATGCTACCTATAGCAGAAAAAAATAAGTATTTTAGATTTTGTACTAATTGATACTTGGAATCAAATATCAATATAATATCATCCCAAAATAACTATAAATTCCCCCCTCCTCACTATATTTTTCCTCCAGCTCAGCATTAAAATCCAGATTCAACTAACCACCAAGAAGTAGGCTAATTAGTAGAATCAGGTGTGTTGGTGCTAGACTGTACCAAAAGCCTGCACACCATGTAGATCTCCAGGTGCAGGGTTGAAGAACACTGCTGGTGACAACCATTTGCATGCCTAGTAGAACCTCAGTGTTACAACTGTGCACAAACTAGCAGAGTTCTAGCTGTGCTTAATTCCAAAAGGGATTTCAGGGGCCCTGCCATCCAAGTTAAATGTCAGAAGTAATGAGACCTCCAATTAATGAATATAAATGAAAGAGAAGTAGAGAGGAGGAATGGAACGTGCCACACCACTCCCCTCCTAATACGCATCAGGCAGCAAGCCAGCCCTACCCGACCACTGTGGAGATATCAGCCTTAAACGTAGGCTCTCACCCCGCTCACCGGAAATTCAATTTGTTCCGTAAGCCGGGTGGATGAAAAAGCAATTATTCACAGTGCCCTCTTTTCACGATCTGTGCTTTAAGATAGCTCCTCTTTTTTCCATTGCCTAAGAAATAAGCCTCCAGATTAGCGCAGTCTGCGTTCCCACGGTTCGTGGTGGCAGCCGCCCGCGACTCTGTGGCGCGGCATCTTTTTTTTATTTTTTTTATCGGGAGCGTCGGCCCACCACGACCCGCCTGTGACCAGAAGGAAGGATCAGACCTGTCAATCACTTTGAGAGACGCCACTGACAGGCGAGGGGAGAGGAGAGGCGAGGTGGGAACCGCGCACCACTCAATCTCTGTTACCCCCTGGGGCAAGGGTAACCAGGGGGAGATAATGCTTTGATAGCAGGGGATGGGGGGGGTGTGTCGCAGTGGAATATAGGGATGGTGGAAGAGAGAACACATGGATGGAGCGCACGTCAGAGAAGCACTTATTTTACACCAATTAGACTACAACCATGCTGTCTCTTCCTGTTCTTACCAGGGCCGTTTGGTCAGTCGGTAGAGAGAAGAGTCGCTGGGAAAAGAAGAGTGTGAAAGGAGTATAAAAAGAGAGCATGGCCCCAATTTACACCCAGGGAATTAGGTGGAACCTAAGCGTGACTGTGTAAAGTGTCTGGAAACCGTTGCACATATTCACTTTCCTATCCTGTCAATCAATTGGGAGACCAACTTGCCGGAGCGGGTAGCGTGGAGAGTAGAAAGCGCAGAACGCCTCATGTTTGAGTCATGTCCTGGCTGCATTCTTAAAATGGCTGTATGGAAGGAACAACACCTGTTGATTGAGTGAAGACGTGGAGTTGCATCAAAGATTCACTGCTCTCTGCCACTTAAATTGGATCTGTCCTCTCTGGGATTTAAAGTGTGTCTCGTTGAACACACACACAGAGAGAGAGAGAGAGAGCGAGAGAGCGAGAGAGCGAGAGAGAGAGAGAGAGAGAGAGAGAGAGAGAGAGAAGACTGGGGTCTCCGAGAGGAGACCATATTAGTCTGGGAAATCAGGAGCATCCATTTGAGAAGGGAGAGAGTGACACCAGCAGCCCCAGAGAGGCCTGAATCCTGGGGAGGATTAGGGGCCAGTCTCCCACCCTCCACCCTCCAATCACTCTTTCTCCTTCCTTCAATCACCATTTCATACTCTACTCCACCCCTCATGCTGCTTTACCCCCTCCAAAATCCCCCACTGCCCTCTCATCAACTGCTCAACAGCAGACGGGTGATTTTCTCCCATCTGAGAGACACAAGTGCAGTGTGTTCTGCGTTTGGGAGCGACAGAACGAAAGGGAAGAAAGGAGAAAGGGATGAATTAAAGCAGTGTGCAAGGAGGCCTTTGAGATGGGCGTGTAGTGTGTGTGGTTGGGATTAGGAAGGGGACATTGCCAGTTACAATGCCGTGTAGGAAATGACTGGAGGGAAGGCACTGCTTTGAAGATAACATGAATGGCGTTTTCACAAGACAGTAAGCTGTGGAAGGGCATTGTGCTAAAACTACAAACATAACCACTATTATTGCTGTTACCACCACAACTCATCACTTTCATGCTCAGGGATGTGTTCAGCATTACTTAGAAAGTAATTATAGAGGTAAGACACAGAAGACACAGACATACAAAGGCCACACACACATATCACTTACCATGAGTCGCTGGTGATCGACCACTAGTGGAGGTGGTGGAGTGGGAGGGATCTGTGGAGACTCCTCCTCTGTCATGTCAGCCGATCCCTTCGACTGCTCTGATTGACTCTTTCTGCACATCCTTCCCTTGGACCCGCCTTGAAACAGAAAGAGAGAACAGGTAAACGACAGCCCACCTACAATCACCTTTGACCTATAATTGTTTATTTACCATCATTAACCAGGTAGGTTAGGAGAACATACCATATGACAAAGCCTATTCACACACTAGGGCTTGTTTGGATTGAAGCAAAGGCCTGACAACCAAAGAGAACAATAATAGCTGTGATCTGTTGGCTTCTAGTTTACCAGCCTGAGTGGTAATACACTGTCTGTAGGATCCAAAAAGACAACAGAAGAAGCAGAAATGTCCCCCAGCCACCCAGGGCTTCCAATCCACAGCCCTGAGTCGTTAATCACACACACAGGCATATTGGTTATCCCACACACAGGCCTATTGGCTTGTCCCAGACACCACACACACACAAACTTGTCCCAGACACTATACGCCACTAAATCAATGGCAAACGGTCCAAGGCCAAATAAAAAAATGTGAGTGAGGGAGAAAAGTTTTTTTGAGGATAAATCTCGAGGGTGGTTTTGGATATTCTACAAAAGGTACACGGCCCCAGCAGCTTTTGAGGGTTTCATTGAAATATGCTGTCTGTAGACTAAAGGAAAACATTTCCTATTTCACATCCCATACTTCTGGGATTATTAATGTCCTGTCGTTTTACAGCAAACTCAGTGTAAATCACATATATTGGAAGAAAATCAACAAAACAGATTATATTTCAGTTATTTTACAGTAACTGAAAGTCGCTGACTTAATGTGTGGATGTGTTTCTAGGTTGTCAGGTGCTCTCTGGGGGAAAGATCAGAATTTATAGTAACTCAGAGTAACTCAAATTAACCCATTGACATGATGCATTATTTATACAAGTCAAAGACAGACAGCATATTTCAAGTCAGGATTCAAGGAGTAGGTAGAAGTTAGCCACAGATATTCTCTCAGTACCTTCTCTATCCTGCTGGTGATCCTCCTCGCCCGTCTCAGTGTCTCCTTTCCTCCCGTCCTGAGGAGGGCGCTCCTGAATACTTCTGCTCTCTGCGGACATCGACACCTCATCATCTTTCCCCTCTGCCCCCTCACCCGTGACCTCTGTAGGCCCTTCCTCTGTCTCAGAGCTCTTGAGGGCCTGTGAGTCCAGGCTGTCCATGGACTCATCCCCGTTCACACTCTCCTCCCGAGGGACAGGGGGCGCTGTGGCCGCCCTAGGGGCTGACGAGTGCTGCTCAGCCTTGGACTGGACCTGGGCCTCCTTGTGTTTAGGCTGGGGATCATCAGGCTTGGCTTGGGACTTCTCGCCTTCGGCCCCCTTATCTTTAGACTGGAGCTCTTCATCTTTAAATGACCCCTCACCTTCAGACTGGATCAACTTGTCCTGGCCTTGAGGCTCCTCGTCTTTACAATGAGACTCTTCACATTTAGACAGGGAAGACTCGCTTTTAGACTGGAGGTCTTTGTCTGTGGAGGTGGATTTGGCTTTGTCGTCTGTAGCCGGTGTCTCTTCTTTCTTGGGCCCTGTCCCTGTCCTACTCTCCCCCTGGGTCTCGGTCTCTGTGCTCTGGCCCCTAGGTGCCTCGTTGGAGCGCTCTTCCTCCGTGGAGAGGCTGTGTGTGTGAGGGTGTGTGTGGTGTCCGTTGGGCTGAGGGTCCATGGTGTCGCAGGAAGACTCTTCATCCTGAGTCAGACAGGAATCGCTGGGTCCCGCCGTCTCTGGCTCAGGCTCTGCACCTTCATCCTCCTCCTCTTCCTCCGTTCCCTTCTTGTAGCTCTTCTTCTTCCTGATGATGCCCCGCCCCCAAGATGGCCGCCGACGCATTTTCCTCTTCATGTGATCTGGAAGCAGAGAGAAAGAAAAACATTTGGTTAGTTCAGTCACATGGAACACAGAACTTATGCTCACCAGACTCTACTACACTGGTTCCGCTTGCACACACCAGTCTCTACTATCAGGAGAGAGCTACAGGGGGTGCAGGCTTTTGTTCCAGACCTGCTCTAACACACTTGATTCAATTATAGTAGTCTAAATGGAAGACCATGACTAGTGTTTCTTTTGTACATTCATTTTTAAGCACATGAACAAATGAATGTCCCCCTGGTGGGATAATAAAGTTGATCTGAATCGGAGGTTGATGTGAAGACATGCAGCGACAGAATCCTTACAAATAGACCTTCATTAAGTGGTAATTCACTGGACTGACGTGACAGTGGACTAACTAACACCTAGCAATTGAGTTGCCTTGTCCCTGCCAGGTCTTAAATACAAGGGCGGCATCAATGTACACTCCATTGCGGAGGTCTGTGTGTGTAGTTGTCTGTGTTCTACATGAAAGGGGGAAGTGAGGGTAGTTAGCCCCCACGTAAAGAGGGGCTGTGGGAGTAATTGCTAGGTTGGATGAGGCGGCTATTGAACACTAGAGAGAGAGAGAGAGGGGAGAGAGAGAGAGAGAAGAGAGAGAGGGAAGGGGGGAGAAGAGAGAGACATGAAGATAGAGAGAGAGAGGGAAGGGATAGAGCGAGAGATAAGAGGGAGGGAGCTCTATTAGAGGGAATTTGGAGACGCTCTTCTCTCTAGATTTTTGCTCTCTCGCTCTCTCTAGCTAGCTGTTTTCTCTCTCTCCTCCTTCCATTGCTCTTCTATCTCTCTCTCTCTCGATCTATCTTCTCTATCCCGCTCTTTTCCTCTCCTTCTCTCGCCTTTACTTCTTCTCTCTCTCTGTCCTTTTATTTCTCTCTCTCTCTCTCTTTCTTTACTCTCTCCTCTCTTCTCTTCTCTCTTCCCTTGTCTCCTCTCTCTCTCCAACTCTCTCTATCTTCTCTTTCCTTTTCTCTCTTCTCTCTCTCTCTCTCTCTCTCTCTCTCTCTCTCTTCTCTCCTCTCTCTATCTCTCTCTTCTCTCTCTTCTCTCTCTCTCTCCTCTCTCTCTCTTCTCTCTCTCTCTCTAGAACTTCTCTTGTTCCAAGTCTCCTTCTTCGTGTAGGGATGTGACTGACACCAGATGGTGGGAAAGGGGGATAAAGAAACTGAGTTAGTACAGTGGGAGTAAGAGTCTCCCATCTGAGAAAGTGCAGTAAACGTGTCATAGGGTATAATAGAGCTTGACACAGTGAAACTTTAGGGTCAATTGGCGGGAAGAACTGTGATTTGAACTGTGATTTGGTGCATACATGTCTTTCTTCTTATTTAAATTGTTACAAAAGCTAGAAACAATCTCATTAAATCATTGTTCAAAACAGTGTTAGGCCTAGTTATTTTTTATCTAGTCTAGGCTACAAAATTATTTTTAAATTGGTAGGGCTATGTTTCTCTTGTCCATAAAAATACTCAGATTTCAGTTATATTAGTCTACCTTTAAAAACAAATATGTCCGTATCAAGTTTAGGCTACTGTTATTTCATCATGATCATCTGGGTAAGCGCATATGCAATTATTTATTCCATTAGGCTACTTTCCCAAAGTTTCAGGCTGGAAAAAAAAAGAGGAAGTGAAGGATTTCATTTATAACTATACAAAAAATTTTAGCCTTTTTTGGGCCTTATAACTATACTAGGGCCCTCCTTTGTAACTATATTTGGGCCCTGCCTTATAACTAACTTGCCGCCTTGTAAAACTTTTTTAAAACTTTTTGGCCTGCCTTAGTAACTATACTCTGGCCTGCCTTAGTAACTATACTATGGCCTGCCTTAGAAACCCCTTTTTAAAAACTAGGGCCTGCCTTAGTAAACTATATAGGGCCCCTGCCTTAGTAACTTACTAGGGCCTCCTTGTAACTATCTATGGCCTGCCTTGAACTAACATGGCCTCCCTTTGAACTATACTATGGCCTCCTTATAACTATCTTCTTGGGGGGATTGGGATAGGCAAAAGCATAGCCTAAAGGATAATAAGCCTATTTGTTTTTACCCTAAGCCAATGTTCATTCAAGTGTTATAAAGGATGTTATAGACTAAATAATCATTTGTTTTATCTGATTGTTGTTGACTTTTATATACACCTAGCCAAATACATTTAAACTCAGTTGTTCACAATTCCTGACATTTAATCCTAGTAAAGATTCCCTTTCTTAGGACAGTTAGGATCACCACTTTATTTTAAGAATGTGAAATGTCAGAATAATAGTAGAGATAATTATTTATTTCAGCTTTTATTTCTTTCATCACATTCCCAGTGGGTCAGAATACTCAATTAGTATTTGGTAGCGTTGCCTTTAAATTGTTTATCTTGGGTAAAACGTTTCGGGTAGCCTTCCACAAGCTTCCCACAATATGTTGGGGTAATTTTGGCCCATTCCTCCTGACAGAGCTGGTGTAACCGAGTCAGGTTTGTAGGCCTCCTTGCACACACACGCTTTTTCAGTTCTGGCCACAAATGTTCTATAGGATTGAGGTCAGGGCTTTGTGATGGCCACTCCAATACCTTGACTTTGTTGTCCTTAAGCCATTTTGCCACAACTTTGGATGTATGCTTGGGGTCATTGTCCATTTGGAAGACCCATTTGCGACCAAGCTTGAGCTTGAGATATTGCTTCAATATATCCACATAATTTTCCTTCCTCATGATGCCATCTATTTTGTGAAGTGCACCAGTCCCTCCTGCAGCAAAGCACCCCCACCGCATGATGCTGCCACCCCCGTGCTTCACAGTTGGGATGGAGTTCTTCGGCTTGCAAGCCACCCCCTTTTTCCTCCAAACATAACGATGGTCATTATGGCCAAACAGTTCTATTTTTGTTTCATCAGACCAGAGGACATTTCTCCAAAAAGTATTATCATTGTCCCCATGTGCAGTTGCAAACCGTAATCTGGCTTTTTTATGGCGGTTTTGGAGCAGTGGCTTCTTCCTTGCTGAGCGGACTTTCAGGTTATGTCGATATAGGACTCGTTCTACTGTGGATATAGATACTTTTGTACCCGTTTCCTCCAGCATCTTCACAAGGTCCTTTGCTGTTGTTCTGGGATTGATTTGCACTTTTCGCACCAAAGTACGTTCATCTCTAGGAGACAGAACGCGTCTCCTTCCTGAGTGGTATGACGGCTGCGTGGTTCCATGGTGTTTATACTTGCGTACGATTGTTTGTACAGATGAATGCAGTACCTTCAGGCGTTTGGAAATTGCTCCCAAGGATGAACCAGACTTGTGGAGGTCTACAAAAAAATGTCTGATGTCTTGGCTGATTTCTTTTGATTTTCCCATGATGTCAAGCAAAGAGGCACTGAGTTTGAAGGTAGGCCTTGAAATACATCCACAGGTACACCTCCAATTGACTCAAATTATGTAAATTAGCCTATCAGAAGCTTCTAAAGCCATGACATCATTTTCTGGAATTTTCCTAGCTGTTTAAAGGCACAGTCAACTTAGTGTATGTAAACTTCTGACCCACTGGAATTGTGATACAGTGAATTATAAGTGAAATAATCTGTCTATAAACAATTGTTGGAAAAATTACTTGTGTCATGCACAAAGTAGATGTCCTAACCGACTTGCCAAAACTATAGTTTGTTAACAAGATACTTGTGGAGTGGTTGAAAAATTAGTTTTAATGACTCCAACCTAAGTATGTAAACTTCCGACTTGAACTGTAAATCCACAATTTGTAAGCTATTCAAAATAAAGTTGTTTGTGAGACAACTCCGACACTGACTCATCATTCATTTATTTTTTGTTCCCGCTTACTGAAAGTGCTGCTGCGGGAGCTTATGCCCGATTGCCCGTTGCACAATTCAAGGACATTAATAAACACTTAAACAATATTATAAATAGTTTAACTTGTCAAAGTAACGTTTACTGTAACTTGTATTGACAGTAGCCTATATGTAGGCCTATATTATTGGCTGTTTGATTTGCAAGGAGGGATTTCCCGGCGGCACAATCTATTTTGCCTACAATTTGGTCAAGTAAAGCAGAAACATGAGGTTAGATAAACTTAATATTCGATAACCATCTTGCAATTGTTCTCTCTCTCGTTTGTACTATGCTTTGTTTTCATTTAAGCTATTTGCAAACAACTTTCTGATATGGAACACCGTTAGGCCTATAGATTAATATGATGGTTGATCATGAAAGAGAGGGAGAAAAAGGGAAATTAAGATTTTAAAACAATTAGCCAGATACCGGAGTGTCCGCTGCAAAAGTCCCATGATCATCCAACATTGGAGAGGGGAAAAAAACACACTAGGCCATATCTGACATTTTGCGCTGGTTTGGTGCTCTCCGCTCTTTCTACAATCTACATTGTTCTCTTGTATTATGTTAATAGTCACATACAGTGCATTCGGAAAGTACTCAGACCCCTTGACCTTTTCCACATTGTGTTACGTTACAGCCTTATTCTTAAATTGATTAAATAGTTTTTCCCCCCTCAATCTACACTCAACACCCCATAATGACAAAGCAAAAACATTTAAAAACTGAAATATCATATTTACATAGGTATTCAGACCCTTTCCTCAGTACTTTGTTGAAGAACCTTTGGCAGCGATTACAGCCTTGCGTCTTCTTGGGTATGACGCTACAAGCTTGGCCATTCTTCTCTGCAGATCCTCTCAAGCTCTGTCAGGTTGGATGGGGAGCGTCGCTGCACAGCTATTTTCAGGTCTCTCCAGAGATGGTAGATCGGGTTCAAGTCCGGGCTCTGGCTGGGCCACTCAAGGACATTCAGAGACTTGTCCCGAAGCCATTCCTGCATTGTCTTGGCTGTCTGCTTAGGGTCGTTGTCCTGTTGGAAGGTGAACCTTCGCCCCAGTCTGAGGTCGTGAGCGCTCTGGAGCAGGTTTTCATCAAGGATCTCTCTGTACTTTGCTCCATTCATCTTTCCCTCGATCCTGACTAGTC